CTGAGGTAATTTCTCATCTAAACCTGCCTTACAATAAATGCTTAAGGGAGTTCTTCAAAAGGAATACATTAAATAGCAACATGAAAGCATAGGAAAGTATGAATCTCACTGGTAAAGGCAAATATATAGTCAAATACAAAGTAGTATAACATCCTACTGGTGGTGTGCAAATTACCCACAACCCTAAGATGAAAGTTAGAATGAAAGTATCAAGAACAACTATAACCAAAAAAATCTATGGTTCATTGCAACATTATTCACAATAGCCATGACATAGAAACAAACTAAGTGTCTGCTGACAGATGAATGAATAAAGAAAATATGGGGTGTGTATATATATATATATATATATATATATATATAATTATTCAGTCATAAAATGAAGGAAATTGTGTCATTTACAATAGGGATGGAACTTGAAGGCATTATGCTACATAAAATAAATCATATGAAGAAAGACAAATATTGTATGGTCTCACTTGTATGTGGAATTTTAAAAAGCTGAACTCAAACAGATCAGAATGTTGTTTGCAGAGAATCGTGGGGTGGGGGAATGGGGGAGATGGTCAAAGGATACAAACGTCCAGTTATATGATGAATAAGTTCCGGGTATCTAATGCACAGCATAGTGACTACAGTTAACAATAATATTATATTATACACTTGAAAATTGGGGAGAATAGATCTTAAATGTTCCCACCACACACACACACACAAAAATGTTCTCACCATTCACATTATTATGTGAAGTGATGAATGTGTTAACTAACCTTTTTATGGTAATCATTTTGCAAAATATACATACATCAAATCATCATGTTGTACACCTTTTATACAATGCATGTCAATTATGTCTCAATTTAAAAAAAATCAAGTTGTATATCTTAAATTCAATTTTTATATCAATAAAGTCTCAATAAAGCTGTTAAACAATCTGAGGGAAGGAGTCATCACAAGCTGATTCATACTGCAAGAAATGTCAGGAAGTTTTCAGGTAGTAGAATAATTATACTGTATGCAAACACGACTTTCTGACAGGAAAATAAATGGTAAAAAATACTGAAAAGCAGTGAGAACATAAAAGGGTAAATATATAAGGTATTTTTTTCTCATCATTTACATTTCTTTTAAAATTGATTAAACAAAAGTAACTATTGAGTATGGGATTTATGACTTATGTAGAAGTAAAATATGTGACAGCACAAACATAATGGCTGGGAGGAGGGAAATAAGTATTATATAGCTCTTAAATTATATGCAAAGCGATGTAACACCATTTGAAGGTAGTCATGATAGGCTCAAGATGACCTGGAAGGAACCACTATAATAGAGTTATAGCTAATCAGCCAACAATGGTGATAAAATGAAATCATAATTAATAATTCAAAATAAGACAGAAAAAGAGAATACAGAATAGTTGGCAGAAATAGAAAACAAACAGTAAGATAGTAGACTTAGCCCTAACCATACTAACAATTACTTTAAATGTGAATGGTTTAATTCTCAAATTAAAAGACAGGGATTGTCAGATTGTATGAAATATCAAGTCCTAACTATATGCTACCTACAAAAAATACACTCTAAATATAAAGACACAAATAGGTGAAAAGTAAAAAGATAGAAAAATATAATACCCTAACGCTAGTTAAAAAAAATGCTGTAATAGTGATAAATACCAGACATGGTAGATTTCTGAGCAAGGAATAATGCTAGGGATAGAGAAGATTATTTTATGATATAGAGATCAACTCATCAAGAGAATATAACAATCTCAAGTGCTTTCGAGTCTAATAACAGAGCTTTAAAATACAGGAAGCAAAAACTGATAGAACTGCAAGGAGAAAACAAATCACAATTACAGTCGGAGATTTTAACATCCCTTTCTCAATAATTGATAGAATAAGTGGACATAAAATCTGAAAAGACAGTAGGCTTAATAATATCAATCACTTTGACCTGATGACATTTATGAACCACTCCACTCAACAGCAGAACATGCATTCTTTGTTAGCACCTCCAGGACATTTACTGGGATGGACAGTATCCTGGCCATAAAACGAGTCTCAATATATTTAAAAGGACTCAAGATATACAAAGTATGTTCTCTTTGACCGCTATGGGATTTAATTAGAAATCAGTAACAAAAAGATGTTGAAAATCACTGGAACTGGAAAATCTGTAAGATATTTGGTAACTAAATAACACCCTCCTTATTGCTCAAGAATCAAGTAAGAAATGAAAATGAAAATCAGTATTTCCAGTTGAATGAAAATGAACAACAATATATCAAAATTTGTGGGATGCCACTAAAGCTGTACTTAGGGAAAATGTACAGTATTAAATGCTTATATTAGAAGAGGAAAAAAGAATCAAATTGATGTTATCAGTTTCCTCCTTGAGAAACTAGAGAAATAAAAGCAAATGAAACCCAAAGTAGGCAGAAGAAAGGGAACCCAGATGAGAATGAAATCAATGAAACAGAAAACAAAACAAAAAACAAAGAAAATCAAAGAAACTAGGCACTGGTTCTTTGAGAAGCTCAATAAAACTGTTAACACTCAGGTAAGACTGATCAGGAAAAAAAGAGAGAAGACACATATGACTGGCATCAGCAGTAAGAGATGTGACATCTCTATAGACACTAAAAGGATAAGGAAATATGAACATTATGACAATAAATCTGACAAGTTGGATGAAACGGACAAATTCCTTGCAAGATACAAATGACCCAAATTCACAGAAGAAGAAATAGATAACAGGAATAGCTTAATATCTATTTTTAAAAAAAGAATTTGTAGGTGACAATATTAAGAAATTCCAGGGCTGGATGGCTTCACTGATGAATTCTATAAATTATTTAATGAAAAAAAATTATATTACTTCTACACAAACTCTTAAAGAAAACAAAAGAGGAAGGAATGTATCCCAAATCATTCCATGTGGCGAGAACTATCCTGAGATCAAAGCAGACTTTTACATTATAGGAAAAGAAAACTATAGACCAATATTCTTCATGAGCTTAGATGTAAAAATTTGAAACAAAAATTTAGCCAATATTTTATAGAAGTCAATGATCTATTAAAAGGATAAACATTATTTGAAACAAAAATTTAACCAATATTTTATAGAATTCAACAATATATTAAAAGGATAAACATTATGACCAAATGAGGTTTATTCCAAGCATGCATGATTGCTTTAACATTAAGAAGGAAAAACATACAATCTCCTCAATAGATATATAAAAAGCATTTGACAAAATTCAACATTCATTCATAATATTCATTGCCACAGATTAAATAATCTGAATCACAATCCTGTCATTCCTTTACTTGAAACTTTTCCATTTCCCATAGTGAAGTCCAAATTCCTCAGTCTGGTATTTAAGGCTCTAGTGATCTCTCCCCAACCCTGGCCCCACCATCCTATTACACCTCCTCATGTGCTGCTCAGTGTAGCAATGATGTAAAATGCCTTGTACCTGGTTCTTAGGTTTTCTGCCTCCTTCGCTTTGTTTATGCTGTGCCTTTGCTCTGGGCTAGTGGTACTCTACCTTCACAGTGCATTATAATTACCATAGGATTGAAAAAATACACGATGCCCAATTCCATCACTAGAAATTCTGACTCAAAGACTTGAGGGTAGGGTCAGGACATTAAAAACTCCCCAGGGCAATTCAACTGTGTATGGAGGGCTGAGAACTAATGGTTTAGAATGTCCTCACAGACTCCAAATTTGCATATCTGAAATTGAATTATCCTTCCAAGACAATCTAAATGGTAACTCCTTCACAAAATCTTTCCAGATCATCCTCTGCTGGAAGAAAGTTCTCCTCCTAAAAGCCTTGATACTTAATTTGCCTGTCTCTTGATCCTTACCTGGAGTTATTCCCTTACCTGAGTGGGACTTCTTAAAACTATATTTACGATTCTTAAAAATTTTTTTTTGCCTTAAATGAGACATTCTGGGTAAAACTGCAATAAATCCAGAATTTCTCACCTGGCCTTAGTACTTCTCCATATCAATAGGTGATTACAAGGTGGGTGGGGAGCGAGGGCACTGGGATTGGAGAGGTGTGGGGGGGTCCTTTTGCAGCTGGTCAGGAGAGGCCTGGGCAAGCAGCAGTAGACAACTGCTTGTAAGTAATAAATGGGTCTTTCTCACTTTATTTCTCTCTTTGGCTGATTTTGGCTTCAAAGGTTATTTGCTCTGGGGTGGGAACATTTCCCTCCCAGAGTTACAGACTTATTGTGTTTAGCATGGTAAGTACTGAATGAGTAATTGGATGAAATGTTTTTAGATGGCTGAAAGAACACTTAGGTATTCACTACAGTTCAATGGTCATAGTAGTTGATCTTAGGATCTGATCTGACCTTTAGTTGATCTGACCTTCAACTTATGTCTGACCTTCAACTCTGACCTTCAATGTCTGACCTTCAACTCTGGCTAACTTCTTTTGGCACTTGAACACCCTCTATCAACATGTGTTTATTACTCACAGTTCACAATTCAATCTGTTGTTCATGCAGCAAGAAAAGCAGGGTTAGGTAAATATATAGGTGAGTTCTAATGTCAACCTTCCCAGTCAATTCTTTTTGCCATAGATACTAACAATCATAAAATAGATCAATGAGTTAAAAGCCTACTTTCCCCTTTTATTTTGAACTAGAAAGCCTAGCAGAAGACATACTAAATCCATCTGAATGATTTGCCAGTAATAACAAAGCTCCTTGAATAATTGAGTTGACTTTACTTATACAGATTTTGTAGTGCTGTTTTCTCTGGCATCTCTGAAAAATTAACATTCCTTGTTTGGTTCCTTAGAAAGTTACCTTGATTTCTTTTCATTGCTCAGAATATGAAACAGTTATATTTCAATAAATTGCTTAGGGTTTTCAATGAAATCATGGGTCTAACAACAGATTAGAACTTTGTTTCCTACTGATGTATTTACTGTGACTCCAATAGAAGATACTCAATAGTTCAAATAGAATATGTACCTGGATCTAGACTGGCCCACTTCTTCAAGAATCGTAGAAAAGTGCCTCCAAGTCCTCTCGGAGTGGAATGAGTGTGCAAGAAGTTTCTTCGAATCACCAAACAAAGACAGGAAATAATCCTCCCCGTCCCCGGTTACGGCGGTCTCAGCAGCAGGGACAAACCGCGTCTGTTTCTTTGGAGTTGTGAGGCTGTCGGAGCCTTTCAAAGAAACTGAAGAGAGGCGCAACAGAGAGAGAATAACAGGGCATTAAAAGACCTCAAAGCCGCTACCTTTATTCTTTGCTTCCACAAAACTAGATTCTTTACACATTTTACTATCACTGTCAAGCTCAGTGAGGATAGTTCAAAGCTTTAAAACAACCTCTAGAAAATAACCAGTAAGCGATTATTTTTTGTGGCAATTACCAATGATTAATTCAGTTAACCTAGACTCTCAATTATATCATCAGCATAATGCCTATTTAACTGATTATTTAGTTGTACTAGAAGCATCATAAGTTTTTGAGTAGGTAAAACATCTGAGTCTCTCAAATTTGGATATATTATATATATATAACTTTATTCTTTGTCATACTGCCTATTTACCCCAAATTACTACATGAAAGTTAAACTTCCAAATGAGTCCTTCCTACCAATGGTTAGTATTTTTTCCAGGTAAAGACTTAAATTTCCTCTAGTCAACTAAAATGCTTCATTAGAAAGAAAAAGTAATGTTTAGTAAGATTCTAGTATTGTCCTGGAAATTTGCTCTTTTAAAATTCTAAGATTAAAATACAAACTAGGTTTCATGATTTTGCACAGCAAGAACCATGCTGGATAAATGTAATGATGTGTCTGCAGGTAGAGAGTCCCATTACAGAGGCGCCATGATGAAGTGGATAGAGCAACACATCTGGGATTTAGACAGACCTGAAATTGTATCCTAGCTCTGCCATGTACTATCAATTCTGTTTTCCTGAACATAAAATAAGGGTGATGCTACCTTGTGTAAGCAGATGTGAGGACTGAAATAATGTAAGTAAGTAGCCCAGTGCCTGGTATTTAGCAGGTACAATAAATGACAGCTATTATTGTAATACAGAGGCTTTGGTTAATGTGACCTTGGGTCTCAAATCATGAGAGGATTAAGTTGATCTACAGTTTCCTTTATATTTTTTTGTACATTTAATAAAACCAAAGCAAGATGAAAGGTGGAAAGGCATAAACACATAGTTGCTAAAGATTCCTCAAAGTACTTTGTTTGGAATTAAGTTAGTTCATTCCCAAATATTTACTTAATCCTTAAATTCCTTCAGGGAAGGAGAATATACAGCATCCTTTTTATCAGCTCATCCCGAGGAATGAAAACCTTTGAATTCTAAAAGGAAAGAAGGCCTATTAATTCTTGTTCTGGCTGTTCTTTCATGTAGAGGACCAGATGGGAATGAATCAAATGTAACAAGTCTTAGCAGACCCAGACCTCTATCCACAGAAGCAAAATCTACAGTAACTGAAGGAGACTACATCCTAGCTCAGTTCTCATCTTGCAAAGAGAAGCCATTATGCATTTTTCCCCAATAGTGAGCTTTCAGAGTGTAGCCTGAATATAGAACATATGCCATGATAATACAGTAGTAGAGGATGGAAAATATTCCCTCCCTATAACTAAATTTGTATTTACACTCATAAGCATATGGATTTTGGCCATTGCTAAAGGTCAGTGTGAACTGAGGTTTCTTTGAAAAATGTGTCTTAGGCATGCAAGCAATGAAGCAAAGGGCATAAGACAATAAGGGCACAAGGTCAATATCCTATATAAAACTGTGTCAAAGGCTTAGGAAAATACCTGAAACTAGACGAAATACAGAGAAGCAGCAGCCAGGCTCTAAATGTCCATAGGATGGTAGAGGAAGGTGGAGACATCAGGGAGTCATGGGTGCCTTTGTGCGGCCAGTTTTAAAACTTTTCGGTTGGCTGGTAATTGAAATACAGACCTCGAATCTGGCCTATGAGAAGGTGCTTACAGATATGTACATATTCACAAGTAACTTTTATTGAGTACTTACTATGTGCTAGGTGACTTATCTCATTTAATCCTTAGGATAGCCTTGCAAAGTTGACATTTCAATCCCCATTTTGCATTTATGGAAAATGGGATTCAAAGATGGTAAATACCTACATCTCACATTGTAGGGAGAAGAAAGATAGTTTGGACCTAGGTCCTCTGTTTCCAAGGACACTGGTCTTTTCAGTAAACCATGTTAACACTCCCTCAAGGTTCCTTAAACATGGTGAGAAGCAAACACCTTTCGTATGGGTATTGTTGAGCCCAATGTTGGCAACTGTCAAAACTTTACTTCTTCCTGACAGAGTACTGTTTTTGTTTAGTATTCCTCCAAATTCTTTATTATTCTCTCTTTCTCTCCACCATTTTATTACCTACTTTTTCTTCTTTCTCTTATCTCTGTGTTTTCCTTACTTAAGCCATAAATCTCCTAAAGGTAAAAAATACACAAGACATTGCTTAATCTTTCTGTAGTGTTCAGAGGAAGGGCAGTTAATGGTGTACATGAGAATTTTTATCTAGCAATTCTAGAGCATCTAAGTAGCATGAGCGATTATCATAACTCAAGATATTTTAATCATGGGGATTGTGGCTAAAATTGTAACATTTCCAGATTATCTCGCCTGGCTTTAGTGCATTTGCATATCCTCAGGGGTGGAGAGAAGTTCATCTCCCTGTCAGTGGGTAATTACCTGGGCAACCGAGGGGCGTGTCTGACCTGAGTTTAAGGGGAGGGGCTTACTTGCTTGCTTCCGGAGCATGGGAGAGAGGTGGCACTAGACTGCAGTTTGTAAGCAATAAACGGGTTTTAAGCTTTATTTCCCCCTTTGACTGATTTCGGTTTTTAGAGGTATTTTGCCCCGGGATTTCCTCTCCCAGGACTTCCAGGATGATGTTCACACGAATGAGTATGACTCCAGCACTAGAATCAGTGATGAGCACAGTCAAGTTACTCTGCATATGACATTAAGAAAATAGTATTATTGGAGATAAATAATAAAATATTCTGGTTTCTAAGCACATAAAGAATCTATTGAATTATATAAAAATGGTGTCCAAAAATCTTGGTACATGTTTTGCTTACCCAAGCTGTTTTCTGATCTGAAATGGCTCACAATAGGTTGAGGGGTCTTTGATCCAGTTGTTGATAGAGTCACTCCACTAATCTGAGGGCTGGACAGAGAGTAACTGATGGGCCCTTCATAGGACAATGACTGTGACAACGGCAGTGTTGTATCTGAATCTGCTGTACTTGAAAAAAAATGTCCTAAAGATCGCTGTGTCTTTGGGAGATGATCACATGTGTCTTCTTTCCTGGGTATAAAAATTGTTATAATAAATGAAGTAAGAAAGTCAAAATGAATAGACTTGAACATTAGATGCATGAACTATCATTACCTAGAGTTCTCCTTTTCAAAGGCATTAATGTCTAACATAAGCACAAGAACATCATCTATTTCTAATTTCCACAACCTGAATTAAACGCTTTGGTGTCAAATCAAGATGTACTTTTCTTTTTCTTTTTTATTTAAGAATTAAATTCCTACTGTAGATGCTTCTGAAAAAGTATAAAAGTAGAAATAAGAAAATAAGTCACCATAATGCCACCAACCAAAAATGTTACCATTTCTTCCCAGGCTTTTAAAATTACTATTATTTTTTACTCAAAATGGAGACTATAAATTATGTGTGTCCACTCTCATCACTCATTATATCACATTTCCCCTCCCATTAACATAAAAGACATGATGGTGATTCCTGTTTAATGTGTCAGTTTACTATACCCTTTTCCTTTAATTCCTGCTGCCTAGTTTTCCTATATTTATAAAGATTCTAGAGCTAATGTCTGCTTTTAAACATTGCAAATCAACGATAAATACAGTACACATGTGAGCATGAGGGCGACTGTTGAAGGGAATAGCAGAAAAGGGAGAAGAAAGACATAATTTCTAAGTATTATCTTTCTAAGAATCTTATCATGAACAAAAATTTTGTTTCTTTTTTTTATAACTATAAAAACACAATCATTTAAACAAAGTCCCTAAATTTTTACAAGTAAAACATCCTCATGGCTTGGTTCATAAAAATGCTAATGACAATTCTCAATCAGTCATATTGACTCTTCTCAGCAACCTCAGAGCAATCTGAGTATGTGTGTGTGTGTGTGTGTGTGTGTGTGAGAGAGAGAGAGAGAGAGAGAGAGAGAGAGAGAGAGAGAGAGAGAGAGAGAGAGAGAAAGAGAGAGAGAGAGAGAAGGGGAGAGAGAGTGTTTAATGCTTGAATTGTTAACAAAGTCTTGGGGTCCAAACCCTTCGGCTCTCTGAAAAGCTAGATAGATTTCTGGGGGCCACGTAGCTATCCGCCTGAAGATGAGGAGCTAAGTACTCTGCCCCCGTGGATTCTCTATGTTTTGATCTGTTTGTTTTCCAGAGTTCCTACGAAGTTATTTTAGCCAGTTCTCGGTGGTTGGATTTGTCTTGCCAATGATTCCATAAGGGAACAAGGGTCTGGGGCTAATCTGCCATCTTGCTGGCTAGTTTCCATCTCTGTTTACCAACAGGTATCCATAATCATTTTATTCTACCATTTCTAAGTCACTTCATCAGAAATATTATATTTGTAGAGCTTTGTACTCAAAACCAGACTTCTCTAAATGTATGTCTCAGAAGAGACAGGCATCTCAGGTAATTGAAAAAAAAAATTAAATGGCACTGGCTTTGAACATTGCATCATTCCTAGCCCAGTACTTACTAAGCTTGAACTCTTGCCATTCTGCTGACACCCAAGCACCCATCTTTGTTCAAGAATCTCTAACCCATGAAGATACACTCTGAGTATGACTGTGGTGACAGTGAGAAAGGAGACTATAGGGTCAACTGGCAGATTACAAATATTTCATCTCTATCCAACCTGAGTCAGGGTCATATGATATGATTTCTCCCCAACACTGGCTAGAATAATCAGCAAGAGTACCTTTCTCTTTCAAATACTGTACATCTGGGTTTCATCACAGATGAACTGGCTTTATCTGTTCAGCATGTTCATTTCATAAGCTTCAAATTTTTTTCTTCCTCCAGTAAAACAATAATGTTACCAGGTAAGTTTAATTCTGCAAAAGATTGCCACTAAGCCTTTGCAAATGCGATCAAAGAAATCTGGCCTAGGCCACAGGGTGTTTTTAATTTTGTACCTGAATAAGAAATTTCTAATGGCTGCACACACCTTTGGAAGAGCTGAACCATTTCAGGAAGAGATGTGCGTGATGCAGCCTATGGTCCGGACCCTGCACTCACCCACCCGCAGGACCCCCTGAGGAAGGTGAGAAATTTGTCCTAGGGCTTAGGTGGCTTTCTCTTTAGCATATGGAATTTTCCAAGCCCCTTCTTGGTATTTTGTTCCATCTGTGATTGATAAGCAGTAAGCCAGAGGGAGTTATAAAAGCTCAATTCCAGCATTTCAATGTTATTTTGGGAGACATGGCATGGGTAATACAACAGTCATTTGTCAGATCACCTCTAAGCACAAAAATTTTTTAAAAATGGATTTGAACTGAATAATAAACAGGAATATAGGTCCAAGGTAACATTAACTATTTGGACCTAATACTATTGAATTAGTATTGAATACCAGAGGACATTTTTCAGAAAAACATTGGAAAACCAACATTAATTGCTTTAGTTGAATGATTTAAATTAGTGGTAAAAATAGGGATTTATAGTTTTTTATTTAACATCCTCACAGATATTTCTAAAACCAAAATTCTCTAGCAATTTTTGTCCCTACGTTAGTAAAGTGTGCTAAAGAAATTGTCTGCCAATTGCCTTACCAACTTAGACATGGCCTTTGGAATCTCAAGCAGGTCTCATGATGGAGATCTGTCCTGGTGCATTTTCATATATTTAAGGACTGAACTTTGTAAAACAGGGGTTGGGGAAATAGTTGTATGCTACAGTGCATTTTAGAAAATGTATGCCATCATTCTAGTTCTAACTACTTTCTAAGATGTTTTGAAACAAGAGGTCAAGTATACCCTCATTATCTTCTAAAACTCAGACCCTCCTTTCCTCTCATTCGTTCCATTCTTACTGTTCTTGATTCTCCACTTTATCTTCCGCCTCATGGACTTGACTCTGCATGGCCGCTGAAGTTTCCCAAGTGGCTTCTCTGTCTTTCATGTTAGCTAGAAGAGATGTCTCTTTTCTCTCCTGGAAAACAAATTATGACATTAGGCAATGAGTAAAGCTGAGGTTCAAGGCAGATCTTTTTTAAGTGACCTCACCTGTTAAGCCCAATACCTTAAAGCACCTGCCAGATTTCATGATTTTTTTTTTAGCAAGCTGGGGCCAGAACCAGGATTCTAATGTGAATATGTAAGTACGGACATAGTCAGTACTGATATTGGCTAAAGATATTAGACAAATCAAGGTAGAGGTGTATGGCCTTCAGTGAAGCAGCTCAGGGGGCAGGGCGGTAACCCAGCACAGCCGTCTTTATGACTGGGACTGTCACGTCCTGCCAGCACTGCCTGTCGGAATACTGAGGTGACATCTCCATAGTTACAAAGTCCCTGTTTCAGAACAATTACTCTGTTGATGATTCACTTGCTCTGCAGTTTAACAACTGAGAAGAGTCATATCTCCCACCAGACACACATTGCACCGAAATATTTGATATCCTGTTTTGGATTTCTGAGGCTCAAAGCTCTTATATACATATGGAGGGAGTTAATCACTAGTTTTAAGTGCTTAAAATTGTTTAAAAACGAGTTTTTGTTTGTTTTTGTTTTGTTTTGGCAAATGCTCTTTGAACACATGGAAACGGCCAACCAGCAGGAACCCAAAACTTTTATGCTTTTATAGCAAATGAAACCCATGGGTAGAATAAAGAAATCAAAGCCAGGAGGCCTAAATTCTCCCTGTTACACCAGCAGTATGATTTAGAAGAAATTACTTAATTCAGATGCTACCTTGAATAAAAGATCCACATTTAATTTTGGTATTTTATGGTCTGATAATGATGGTATGAGAATAAAATTAACACATATGAAAGTAGATGATTGTACATGGTAATAAGATATATTAATGAAGATTGCTAGTGCATTAGTAAGTGCTTTCAATAAATAGTTAAGTGAGCACCTGCTATGTCCCAGGAACCAGCTTGGTACTACAAATAAAAATCCCTGCTTTAAGGAATAATGAGAAAGTATCTCTCAAATAGATTAGAAAATAGTTTCCATCTTGGAATGATGAATAGTATTTCAATGCAAATGCTGATGAACAAGGTAAATATTTTAATAAATCAAAAGAAAAAGACAAGAGGTAGATATTACATAATCAGGCAAGGAAGCCAGAGGAGGGTAAACATCTGACTATACTTTGTCTCAGAGATGAAGCATGTTGCCTTATCAGCATTGTGGGCCAATTATGTAAATATAGCATAAGGAGATTTATAAATTTATACTTAAGCTTAGAAAAGAATTTTTCAAATGCATTTATTATTTCTTGTCACTATCCCATTTTCCCATCCCTACCTGTCCAGATGGCTTCTTAGCTGGACATGGACTACATGTGTTAGCATGAAGTCATTATGACTTCATTTGTTTTATCAGAGCCTCTTCACATTTTCCAGCATAGCTTGGCAGAACAAAATTGTGTCAGTTGAGAAAACCTCTGGAGAGCTTTAAATTTCTGAATGCCTCAATAGTCATTCCCCATACAGGATATTTCCTTTCCAAAAATTACAGCAAATATTCAACTAAAACTAACTTCCTCTTTTGCTGCTGTCAAACTAAGCCAGTGGTTTTTAATAGAGGATGAAGTGAACCATAGGGGACATTTTATAAACATGAGGGGACATTGACAGGCATGAAGATTTGACAGGGTACTGTTGGCATTTACTGGACAGGAGCCAGAGATGCTAGACTTCCTGCAATGTGGCAGATAATCTTACTTGGCAAAGACTCTCCTCATGTACCACACGACTTGCCAGACATTTACGCAGATGAAAAATAAGTTATCATTATCGGAGCCCAAAGCTTCACTCCATGTTTCATATAAATACAAAATATTTTTGCACGCATAATAAATGCCAAATTTTCCAAGAAGTGACTATTTATTGTTTACATTGAGGGAAGTTTGTATATTAATTTGTTCAGACCTTTTTCAAGAGTTGTTCACCAGTTTGGAAAAATTACACCATCAGTAGCAATACGACTTGGTGTCATCACCAGGTGGGGGCAGTTAGGCACTCACCATGGAAGGAGTTGGGAAGGTACTGTCCAGGAATTACAGCAGAGAAACAGGGATTGCAGTGAAGGGGTCTTTGTAACAAATGAAGGTGAGACCAAATCCTGGCTCTGCCATCCACTGGCCATATAACCTTGGAAGAGGTCTTTGTCTCTCTTCAAGTTCCACTGCGTAACTGCTTATCTACTCCCCAACCAGCTTTGACCTGGTTTTTTTCTCTGCTCCAGTCTCAAATCACTCTCTTTCCTGCTTCTGGACCCTGTATCAATTCTCTTTTTTGGCTTTAGCCTCAGTTGGGAAAATACCAGAATTTTACATGAGAAATTGAAGTCCCATAAGGGTAGATATAGAGTGAAACAGGATGAAAACTAAGTTTTCTATTGTGAACTTTTACCTTAAGAAAAAATTAAGTGGCAAAATCCCATATTCATCAATTTAAAAAAAGTGAAGCAATACATGTACAAAACTTTTTTAAAAGCTGAAGAACACATGAAAGTGGTCTTATATACCCTAGTCTTCCGTCCCCACATATGGAGAATATTTGCACAGTAGGGGATCTTATTAACTCGGTAATAGAAATAACATGTCTCCTGTGAATGAAGGCTGTATATATAAAGAAAATTTCCTCTCCTCTTAGGCAATCAGTGGGAATTTCTAAATTGAGTAGTATGCAGTGGAAGATTACAGCAGGAATATGACATGTTCCTTTATCTAAGATTCAAAGCATTTGTATATATAGGAATACAGTTTCACATTTACACCCATAGAATTATAGTATAAGTTCCCATTGTAAAGCATCTTGCTAGTGTAAAAATGTGCTGGGTTCATTCATTTCCTAAACATGGATCTACATGTAAATAACACTGCCTTGAACATAGATGCTATTATTTTACTCTGAAGTCAGGGTTATGTGAAGGTCTTACTGGAGGGTGTTCACAGACAGGATAAAGGATCATTTTTTGGAAACTTCAGGTTTCAGGCAGTTTATCCAAATACCTTCATGGATTTCCCCAAACACAAAATTCTGTTGCGAAACACTAAGACTTTAGATCTGCATATGTGACACAAAGTGTCAAACAATGGTTTGAATCCTCAGATATTCATGTCAATTTCAGCAGTGGTTCATAAGTAACCACACAGTTACTTCAAACACAGGGTACGTGTACCATAGGCTTAGCCTTTATCCATGAATCTTTTCTCTCCATGTTTTCTAGAGGAATATAATACTTATTATTCTAAGACAGGGCATCTGAGACATATTTAGGAGGCAGAGATCCAGAACCTATGATCTTATTTGCAGAATGCACGCCCTTTGTAAAATACTTTTAAGAATACAAATCAGTGTGTTTTTATTTCATCTATACAACTATTTTTATATATTTTTACTAGAAAAAAGAAATCCATCTTATGCTATTTATGTACCATGTGACCTCACAACCACCAGCTCACACATCTTAAAATAAAATAAAACACCCGCCCAACTGTTGAACCAAGAACAAATGATTGGTTTTGCGTTTACCTATTGATATGAATTTGCCATTTCATGTACAGGCAACCTTTAGCAGAAAACTGGTATCTGCAGCCAAAGACTTGTGAAAAATTATTGGAGAACAATTTGAATTGAGGAAATGCTATCCATTTTATTTTTCTCTGCAAACAGGGTAAAGGCACTCTTTCTTCAATTTTACATCCTCCCCCTCTCCAGCTGATGCAGCACGAGCGTCCCATGAGAAGCGCTGTACTAAAGGGGTATGAAAGAGAGTTATAAGAAACCTAAACAGGAGCCCTACCCGTGGCTTCAGGCGTAAATATGACGGCGTGGAGCCCAGCCACGCTCAGTGTGGAAGCACAGCGAGGCACAGGGGGCCCTCAACTCCGCCATCTCTTCCTCTCTGGTTACTGAACACAGGACAAACTTGATCAGTGGTAGCTGCTCTTAGCATTATTCATTATTGGTGTTGACAACAGACAGCAATGAGGTGTGCAGGTCACTGAGGAGTGGGTTAGCTATTCTTGAGAAGTCCCATGACACCATCTACATACATGAAGCTGCATTCATTGAATAATAACTGACAACTTGAAGAATAAGCAAATTTAAATAGACCAATTAAATTTAAGTTGGTTCACAGCTTTCCTCCTCATAGGCAAATGAGAGAACAGAAGAAACTGGGCAGCTTCCAAGGATATTAAGGCCCCTGAGCTTCAAGTTACGCCTTCTGTAAGAGAAGGACACCTCTAACCTTCATTAGGATGAGAAAGGGAACCCCTGGGGTGGACAATACTGGGTCTGCAATTACACAGTGGCGTTTGTTTGAGCCCCTGTATGTTAGAAGAGGTGAGAAACCAGATGTTTGACGCAGAATGAGAAAATTCATGCAGTTAGGAAACAGAACTCTCTCTAAGACCTTTGGCCACATGTAGATGATTATTAGTCTGCAGTAGAAGAAAGACAAGATGGACATTTTTATGTGCTTGTAGTGTTCTCTAGCTGTTTATTATTCTTAGTTTTGCTGTTGTTCTGTGTTCATGTTTGTTTCTCCCTTAGTTTTCAGAGGAAATGCTTTTGCGATTCAGAGCCAGTCATAATCCATAGTAGATTATACTCTTAGCGCTGCCGCTGTGTTTGCTATCATGTACCACATGGTACCCATTTGTGTTAAGTACTCTGTGTATAAGATCTCATTTCACCCTTTTTTGGATGTATTATTATCTGCCCTTCGCAGATGAGGGTACGGACGCCTGTAGCGGTCAGGCAATGGCCCAGAGTCACACAGCTACGGAGGGGGAGAAGCACGGGTCTGTCCGGCTCCTTCCCCACTACACCTCACCATTCACTGAAAAAATACTGAACACTACTGTTTACAAGGCGATTAGATGGATAGTCCGTAATAATTTAAACGGGTGTCCAACATGTTCCTTGCTCTTCTGGAATTTATTCTTCTGATGGGACTGTAGTATCC